CGGAGGAAATAAATTTTGAAATTGTCACTGAAGAACGTTTGAACAGCTCTATCATACATTGCTCTTTTCAGTAGAAGTTTTGTGGAACTTAAAAATCTTTATTTATAACTAGAGATAGTGAACAAGCAGAGATAAGGATAACTTACTCGTTTTCACCATATTTAAACTAATATCGAAGGGATTACATGCATTTCATTGCCAAGAATGATGCAGTTGGATCAAACTTGATATCCGACATTGTGAAAGAAAGGTAAAAACGATATCCGTGAATCAGTTTGTCTGAGCTAATAATAATTCATACATACTTCTTTATTTTTGTCACTCAATTTCGAGACGGATACTTGGGAACAATTTTAGCTTTATGAAAGTTCTGATCCAAGAATTCCATGGAAACACTTCCTCTGTAATAGAAAGTAACCGTTAATATAGTATGTACAGTATCATTTAACGCTCAAATAGATTTCTTTACTTTTAACACCCGTCTTTTATAGTGCTTTTGTGAAGATGTTTTTCTATTAAAAGCTAGTACGAACACTCAAAACTGTGGATTTACGTTGTGGTGAATAATGAGGAAATCCCAGCGTTTTTTGAAAAACGCTTTTAGCAGTTGTAGTTTTCATTTGCCTTTCAGAAACAATATTGTAAATGGGCAGAGTATTCGAATAGAATCACAAGTACATGCTTTTTCGTCAGGGCTCATAGAATGGTTGCGAGTTTCTTTTCAAGTACAAACTTTTAGCTCATAGCTCCATCTCCTAACCGATTTGAGATCTAATTACAGCCACGGCTATTGAGGATACCCTATTGTTTAATTTTTTACATTAATTATGAAACGAGGATCCCAAGATCCTAGGTTGTCACACAGAGTGTGACTACACGTGGAGACCTGAAGCGCAACAAAACGTTGAAGCGCTAAAATCGTTTTGATATAACGTGCTCAAACTTTATACATTAAAGCACTTTTTAAACAGCCAAAGGTATCTTTTTTAATTGTGTTAAATATATCTAGTTCGTATACCTAAATTAACTTAGGTTACTATATGGTGAAGTAAAACGGACTCAAAACCTCATAGAAATCTTCATAATTGTTGTTATTCATACATTGCCTGAAGATGGCCTGCTCTTATGGGTTGAAATGTTTAAAATATTTCTAGTGTAAAATTGATTACTATAATAAATTCCCCTTTAGCTAGAGTGGTAAAACATATTAAATTGTATTTTTACAATCAACTTATGTGCAAATGCAAAAATGTTTCTTACGCAGAAGAAAACAACACAGTCCCAGACCAAATGTTCATATCTGTTGATTCGACTTTAAAACACTTTGCTCAATGTATTCCAATGAGATACCACCTGAATACTAACTCTAATACTGACTTTTAGTTACTCATCATCCAGAGACTATTTTGTATTTGAAATTACTCTGGATTTTTAAATGTAACAATTTTGTTAAGTATTTTTGTATGGCCAGATGGTTAGGGCGCTTGACTCGCAGTCTGAGGGTCGCGAGTTCCCTCTTACACCAGTTGGGGCGTTAGAATATGACGGTCAATCCCATTATTCGTTGGTAAAAGAGTTGGCGGTGGGTGGTGATAACTAGCTGCCTACCCTCTGGTCTTACAGTGCTAAATTAGGGATGACTATCACAGATAGCACTGGTGTAGCTTTGCAGGAATATCAAACGAATTCTGACATTCTTAACCTAATTGTTATATGGTTACATGTTTCATTAAATAGGTAATGTAAAAAATTCTTCTGCTAGCCACACCAGTTTCAATGATGACATATCCGAAAAATATACTTTAAAGGTTTCATTTTATTTATTACCCGTGTGCCTGATTTGCCCCCACTTTCCATTCCCAGTGGCACAGCAGTAAGTCAGTCAGTAGTTAGCTCTCGTTACAGCTTCCAAAAAGATGCCTCCTCACGCTGACTGGCTGCTTCAGAGATGGGGAGATGTCACCAAAGAAGATGACATTATAGTCCCACATGGTATAACCAGATGGCGCAGCTATCTTAGATAGGGTTCGATACCAGACAGATGGCTATGATGTAATAGTTCTAGGAAAACAGAGAATGTGTTTATAGGCCACCATGACGTCAGTTCCACGAAGTGGGGCCAGCATAAATTTATCAAATGTCTCAACATGACTATAGTTAATACAGTTGGTTTAAATCACTAATTTATTAGGGAATTAAATCTCCCAACAATTAACACACACACCAATTCATTAGTTCTATACATTTTCTTACCAATTACAAGTCCTAAGAAGGGCATTTAACACTAACTTAATAGTTCCATACAATTCCTGACCACTT